GCAATAACCTCAGCCAATTCCCTCAGTACTCTAGGGTGGAGATCGTCTGGACCAACTGATTTGAATACATCCAGTCCCTCCAGAAGTTCCCTAACTAGTTTCTCACTAACCCTTGGCCTAGGTGCACCTGGGATCTAAGGGGGACCCAGAGGGGGAGTGACTGTTCCGGTCCCTGCTTAGGAAAATGGAGGCAAAGAAATCATTAAATATGTTGGCCCACCCGGTCCCGCCCACCTGCCACATATTCACTGAAGGGCAGTGAGCCTATATACTACTCCCCCCTTCCGTCTTTGACTCCTGGTCCACTCAAAGTTTAAAACTAACTGCTTAGCAGTGGCAGCAGCATTTCTATTCAGGAAGCAGTGAGGGAGTCACTTGACCTTGTGGCTCATTATAATCTACCTGATTCCTTCTAAACTCTTCATTACACAGTTGTTAATGACCCTCTCCTTTTAAATGGTTTTGATGTTCCACTAGTCAGACAAGCCCTTTTCTGCATTTCTGCTGTCTATTATTTATTCCTGGTAATGCAGCTTCTATTTCACAGTCCTGCTGACTGTTATTAACTCAAACTAAAAATGTGAACACAGGTGTGGAAATAACTTGCAATGAAGCATTGAATGCACTATCAAGATGTAAAAAGGTTAGATTTTGCTTCACGAAGAAAATCAATTTAATTCTAATGAGTACAGACCTAGTGAAACAATATATTTTGTTTATTTTTGCATAGTTTTTTGTTTTTATACAATATACATATGATATATGATCTAGCAAATTCATGAATATTCCAATACATTTTTCTCTTGCTCTGATCATAAACTGAATAATGTCACCCAGTAGCTGAGCATTCTAGTTTATTTTCAACTCAGTAACAATATCCACTGTGTTATATGGGATGAGGCAACCCCACCATCTGCACTGCTTTTTCAAAATCCTAGATCCATACATGTCCACATACGTGCCCAAAATCCCACTTGTGTGGCTGAAAAACTGCCATTTGGGAGTGGAAAGGGTAATACAAACAGGCTGTAACTGCAGCTTCATCCTCTTTGCCCAGTTGATCAGCAAAGGAAATGAGGAGAAAGCCCCGAGCCTCACCATGCAGTGAACTAGGGCTGTGCATCCTACTTCTTCAATCATGAGCTGAAAGTGGGAGGTATTTTAAGATATGACTTTCTCCAACCACCCACCCCCTTACAGATAGGAGGAAGTGGAGAAAGGCATCCAACCTAAGTACATGGAAAAGGAAACAGTGCAGTGCAACTAGGTGCTGTTTAGATACTAATCAAGCTAAAACTGCCACTCCATTGGTTGATGTCCAGTGCAGATAAAGAATAAAAGAGCTATTTATCTATTTGTAGCTGGTGGATTTTTTGCCTGTAAGGAAGAAACCTGAAGTCTTCGCAGACTAAGGGTGCCTTGATACCCTCTGCTACCCTTACAGACTTGAAGGTGAAATGCTTCAGGAGTGAGCAGAGTCCAACGGTAGTCTGAAGAGTGTCCATTCTGAGTTATTTGTTATACGGTGGATATCCATATTTAACTGAGTTTACTGTACAAGCTCACTTCATTAAATGACTAGTATGTGCAAGAGATTGCATAGTGACTCTTTCCATTACTCCAAAAGTTGCCTCTTGCTATTTAATTCATCCCTGTATCTACATTTAATTTCCCTGTGTGCCTCAGTTAACATTTATTTGTATGACTCCTAGTAAAATAACAGCACTGGATTTCACACAGTTTCAGTTCTGAACTCTTCTGTTAAAACAGACTTATGATTATCATGCCTAGAGGGGGCTTACTGAGGTAGAAATATACCATTGAGAAGAACTGGTTTCTCAGCATTATAATGGTAGGCTAGTTTACAATCTGTAAAATGACTCTCAAAAAAGGCGAAAGTTGGAGTTGCTGCTTAAGAAGCAGTATCAGAAGTTCTGACTAATAAATCTTACCAGAGGTTCAAGTTGGCTATGTCAAGTTGCTGTAAATAATTTATTCCCAGTGTGACAATAGTTCTGGCTTGTGTATATATCCAGCATGCCAGAATGACCACAGTATTGTCTGTGTCTAGTGAGCCATGTGGAAACCGACACCTTGAGCCAAACCTATGGGGAGTTTGCAGAAGTGTAATCTCTGGTAAATGTTCCATCACCACAACCCATTTGTTCAACGAGTTCTCTGGTATACACTATTAGTTGCAAGTTTATAATCAATGAACTGATAAAAGGATTAAATTGTATAAGCAGTAAGCAGGTAACCTGTCTTTTGAGAGAGATTATGCTACAGAAACAACATTATTAGAAGAGATCTTTTCATGTATCAACTGAGCATGTTAAGCAAACAAATTCTATCAGTTCCTTAAAGGGAAAGAAAGAGGCTACACTCCCATGCAATGTCACTTTCACCAATATGGAGCTGCACATCAGGTGAGGATATATCATATACTGTTAGTGACTTCAGAACTCAGCTTATTACATCCAATGAGGATCTGAACAGCTTTTTTCTCATGCTGTGCATACACAAACAAAAATACAGTTATTTGTTTAATAACATTGTCAGAGAATTCCAATTTATAGTAACAGCCTCAGAATTTTTCATTCTAAGAAAGGTTGTTTTTTGCTGTAGCCTATAAAAGTTATCTGATGGCTTGAAAGATGCTTCAAATCACAGGTTTTATTGGCTCCTGAAATCACATTCTGTTCTGTCTCAGTCCTTTACCTTTCCAGAACCCATGAGCCTTAAGGAAGAGAAAGTGAGAAACAAACCAGATATGTAACTCATTGTATGCCACTACTTTTAAAACATACATGTTTACTGTCACCCCGATTGTGATGTTTAACTGTGCCTTTTCAATGTGGCAGAATGAGGCCCAGTATGAACTTGCCTAAATAGCCTCTTTAATAAACTTCAGAGATGGATGCTTGGCAATAGCTCATAATTCACGAAAATAAAAAGCCAGGGAGCACTGGATGATGGCCATGTAATCTGACTTTAAATTACTAGCTTGCATTTCTGTGGTCTGTTTTGTGTCTGGCCAGCAAATAGTTAGACAGGCCTAAAAATGTTTGGTTTCTCCACCCTAGTCAGGAAGGAATCATGTGAATTTTATGGGCTATTAAATTTGCAGCACCAGATCTTGTAAAATAATAAAATAAGATAAAGCAACAGAAATAATAAAACATTTTTGTGAGGCTCTT